TGTCTGTCGTGATCTTAGATATGCCAAGACCCATATCACACTTTCCTGACACCTACCGAAGCATTCTCGATAGAGGGCGCCACGAATGGCACAAATGCCCCGTGTTCTCGCCTGCTGCTCTCGGATTTTGAGGTCGAGCTGTTCCCACAGTTGTATAACAGCTGTTCTGCTAGGAGGCGCCCGTGATACCTGCAAGACATTACTCGACAATAATATTCTACATCAGTATGTTACCCAGTAAGAGAAAGATGAAAAAAAGCCAGAAAGAGGACGTGTATTGTCATTTTCCTTCTGAGTATCTTCGTGTCAGATACTATTTAGGTTTATTTCATGAAATGAATCGGTTTATCTGGGGAAAAAAGACATATCAGAGGTGTAAAAGAGTGCCCTTGGATTCTGATTCCATTACCCACCCTTTGTATCCATCTTTCTCCGTCCTCCCACTCGCATGGAGGAATGAGAATGTCTATGATCTTCTCGCCCCGCTCTCGGTCCGTCATTTCCTCTTCGTCGTCCTCATCTGCCATTTTTAATAAAAAGAAAACCAATTAGAAATGAATAACGAATGCAAATAGGTAAAGGGAACAATGCAGTCTGAAAAATAAATTACATAAGACAGCATAAACTACACCAACATCAGCAACTCAAATGTTAATAATTAACAATTACAATAATGATAATATCATCAACAGGGAGCTAACGCCGACGGGGGCGTATAGCCGCATCTACCCTTTGTTTCCAACTACGAGGATCCCTCATGACAAGCCGCCAGGCAGGGACTCGGCCCATCTTGAGTTCCTCATGACAGGTTTAGTCGATCTGCCCAAGCCACGACTTCCTAGGTCGTCCTACAGGCCTCCTCTACCCAGGGTTGTCTCGAACAGAGATAACCGGGTGGGCAGGATCATCCTAAGGAAAGTGAGCCACTTGGTTGTACAGTCTGAGTTGGCAATCAGGGATTGTGCAGCTAATAGGTCCTGTGCCAGTCTTGCGGTGCAACCATTGGTTGGACACATGGTCCCACCAACAGTACCCCATGATCCAGCACAAGGACCTGTTACAAAAGGCATCAAGACAAGACTCCAAGGCACTGTCCAGGTTTCACTACCATATAGCAAAACTGGTATTATCAGGGACTTGAAAACCTGTAGCTTGGTCCTTCTGTGCAGGTACCGGCATCTCCAAATACTCTTGTCGAGAGAGTTCATAACCCCTGCTGCCAGGCCAATCTGTCTGCTGACTTCCTGGTCGGACAGCCCAGAATTATGAACTATACTCCCAAGGTATGTAAAGCTATCTGTGACTTCAATGTCCTCGCCGCAAGCATGTACCAACTGAATAGGTTCTCCTAGCAAGTCCCCAAAGTCCTGGATCTTGGTCTTAGTCCAGGAGACCTCTAGAACCAAGGGCTTCGCTTTATTACTAAGTGCATCCACAGCGACCACTAAGGTTTCCAAGGACAGAATAGCATCAGCAAAGCCAAGGTCAGTAACCCTCATATCGCCCAGAGTTGCTCCACAATGACTTTGAACAGTAGCTCTGCCCAGTATATGGTCTATTGCAGACTTACCAGGAGTGAATGCAAACTACATCCGGGCTCTAATGCCTCAGTAGGTGGTCTCTGTTATGTCTCAGAAGGATGTGGGCAAGAACCTTGCCTGGTATACTGAGCAGTGTGATTGCTGCAGTCCAATCGGCCCCCACTCCTCAACAGGTCAGGGGGAACAGTACTGGACCGCCAGATGGCATCCAGGACAGCATATAACTCCCATGCCATAGGTTCACCACCAGCCTTTAACAGTTCAGCTGGGATGCCGCAAATACCTACTGCTTTACCACTCTTCACAGCTTGGAGATCACCCCCCTAACTTCGGTTAGGGAGGGAACATCCTCACTGATACATGGGTCCAGCAACGGAATCTCGGCACTCCCCACATCCAAGTTAACTGTTGGTGGGTCAACCTGGTACAACTGCTCAAAATACTCAGCCCAACGTTACTGCACCGCAACAGGATCTGATAATGATCTGGCCACTTACTAAGCAAACTGTAGTCACCTGTGAAGAGGGCCTGGAGTTCAGCTTTCTCAGGGCTTGGTATGCAAGACGAAGGTCATTTACCAAGAAATAGCCTTTTACCTTCTTTGTAAGATTCCAAATAAACTGTTCCTTGTCCCTTAACAGTGATCGAGTTCTGCACACCTGAGAATGGGGCAAATCCCGATCCCTGGTCAGACGTGCCGCTTAACAAACATCTGTGGCTTCCAGTGTCTCCTGTGAGATGAAATTCTGTATTACTCTTGGGCTTTCACCAATCGATTCTTGAGCTTCATCAAGGTATCCCACAGAAGTATAGGGTCGAGCACTGTGAAAGGACCAGAGATTGCCTCAGTAAACCCTTGGGCACACTCCCTCTCCCTTAGCCTGTCCAAGTGAAACACCATAGGGTGATCATTGGACTGCTGGGGAGTTTTGAAGTGGACCTGTAGGGTAGCCACAACCTATACACCCTGCAGTTCTGGAGGATCCTCCAATGAGTACTAACGAGTATGTGGTCGATCTTCTTGGCTGCATTACCTGCATCACTGTGCCATGTCCAACGATGTGGGTCTGAGTGCTGGTACCAAGAGCCAGATATCCTCAATTTCTGGGACCTTACAAAGTCCCAAAAAAGGAGGCTATTCTCACTACCGGCATCAGCTCCTGAACCATGGAGACATCTCATAGCCAGCTTGATCACAGCCAGCTATCACACTGAAGTCACCCAGAACAATACAAATATCTTGTATGCCACAGATGCAAGTTTGGCATAGAACATCTCTTTCACATCGAGTTTCAAACATCGGAAGGAATGTACATAACAATAATCGACATGAAGCCACTTACTAGCTTCAGTCTTAATACCATTATCCGCTCATTGACTGGTGTAACCTCTACTACCGAGAGCTGGAGTCTGCTGAAGATGGCTATGGCTACTTCCTGGAGATGGTGATCGTCGCTGGGGCCTGACCAGTAATAGGTGTACCCACCTACACTGATCATGCCACTGCCAGGTCTTCTCACCTCCGAGAGAGCAGTTACCTCAACTCTCAGCCTCCCCAGTTCCCTCGACAGTGGAGGCAACCAATCATCCTGACGCAAAGAACGGATGTTCCAATCCTCTACCCTGACTTCCCACCTAAGGTTTAGCCTCGTGCAGTCACGCCGGGTGGATGCCACCTCTGCCACCCCTGCCGACGCTACCCCATATAAAAGGGCTGCAGAACCCATCATCCACCTGTGGGGTTCCCTATGGCTTCCCTCTACAACCTTCACTCCAGGCTGGCAACTGCCAGAACGCAGGCAGGACGAGTTCCCGTTCCCAAGCTGTGCTCCAGCAGTCGTCCTCCCAATGGGGCCCACAGTCTGCCTCACTTGCTGTGTGGGAGGGACTTTTCCCATCCCAGCATTTCCATTTATAGTGAATACTGCCGATTGGTTATATATGAGCGGAGGATTGGCAAGGCCCACCTACTCCGAGCCTTCCATTTACCCCAGGGGGCTTAGGGGCAGGAGTTGGTACACGGCCAGGGCTTGTCTACACACCCCTGGGCCATGACCCTGAACCTCTGGAGCCTCCTGCTGTTCCAAGATCCCCCACAATTTAGCCTGGGATGGCAAGGTACCCAGTTTCCATGGGATGCCACGAGGTCTTGATGATAGCGAGGCTGTGAACTGTCAGGGGGAGGCTTATGCAGAGCTGCTTTTTCGCATTAGGCTAGCCAGCAGTGGCAGCTGCAAGCGAGAAGGCATGCATGCACTTAACACTAACTAAAGTACCACACCATCGCTTCACATCACCCTGCGCATGAAGCACCAACCCAATAATAATAATAATAATAATATCAATAATGTTAGAATAACATCATTGATGCTGATCATATTAATGATAATATTATTATTATAATAACAATAGATGATGCGATGGTAATAATAATAACGCATGCCCTGCAGAAGCAATGGAGCAAAAAGGCCTTGGGCATATTCGTGTGTTTTCTTGTTCTTCTATTCGTTGTTCCTTTGTAATTTGTTCGACATGAACTTTGCATCAGTCGCACGTAGAGACCACTAGTCCATGACCAAGGAGCGTCGCGAGTCCCTTGACACGAATACGTTTCCATGCAGAAGTTATGATCTGGCTCTGGGACTAACTTTGGGGCAAAGAACTGATAATCAAATGTTTGCTATCTAAAATAGCAAGTACTGCTACTGTGTGAACATTCACATATTTTTTTTTTTTTTAATTAAGTGATGCAGTTGGAGAAGCTCTGTCGTTCTATTACGATGATTATAATTGTATAATACAATAGAACAGAGAAGACCATCAAGCAACGGCAGGGGAACACAACTTATTAAACATATAAACTATCCCACATGCCTTCCAATATAAAGAAATAATGCTACCAAATTAGGGCCGTGTATACGGGGTGCAGTTTTATATAAACTTAAACTGTAATGAATTACAGTTATAAAAAGCAGCCTTAAACCTCATTCGCATGGGCCTGCGCTAATCACAATACAGTACTGAAATAGGAAAAACGCGCTCGAGAGAAGGCTAAGCAAAACACACTTCCAACGGAATGGATTTACAAACTACGCTTGTCTGCAGAGTTCCTGACACCAGCTGTTACGAGGAGTTCATTGTGGCGCTTGTGAAACAGGTAAAAGCCCCTAAATGCCTTACCTTCGTCGCCGCCGTTCATATGGATGGCGTCGTTGATGATCTCCAAGTCGTCCTGTGTCTCCTCCTTCTGTGAGCGGGAAATCAGAGCACAGGCGTTAGGCATGAGTTAATGGGGGTGACCTTTTGCTTGCGGGAGATGATATTCACAGTGGAAGAGTATTTTGTTGATATTCATTGGAAGGATATCATCAACGATCAGGTGGAAAACAGCAGTGTTATGAATGAATAACAATGACGAAAGGAAACGCAGGTTAGCAAAACCTTCAATTTTCGATCTTA